TTTTGTTAACCCTTGGTGTGTGTTGGTATCCATAATGTTTATCATATTTGACATCCTTTCGACCTTTCATTCACTAAATTTCTTGTACCACTCAAGCACAAATGGTATGCATTTTCCCCACATAAACTTCATCCAAAAAGATTCTGTTGTCATTTTGTTTGAATTTAAGAAAAATTTCAAATTGTTACATTGTTTGATTTCTGAATCAACCATTTTGGGGAGGCAACAAGCTTTTTTCCCCTAATGCTACAACTATTGGGTTGGCAACTAAATTCCCCCAGTTTTTTTAAATTTTGGAATCTGTTGTGTTTTTAAATTTTGGAATCTATTTTTTTCAAGAATTCTATTTTGGAATCATTTTGTAATCTATTTTGGTTTTTTTTTGAGTTAATTTAATTTCTGTTTATTTCCAGATCATTAAAATGGAATGTCAAGAAAAATGAGCATTTTTGACACCTTTTTGCTTTTAATCAAGGTTCTAATGGTGCAAAAGCTGCTTGTGACATTTGTGCTGTGTATGGAGAGGATGCCATAGCTGAAAGAACCACTTGGGATTGGTATGCCAAGTTCAAAAATCAAAATTTTGACCTCAAAGATGCACCTCGTTCTGGACTTCCAGTTGAATTTAATGAAGAATGATTAAACCAACTTTTGTACAAAAATTCTCGTCAAATAACAAGGGAACTGGCACAGAAAATGGAATGCTTCCACACTGCTATAGAGAAGCATCTTCACCTGATGAGAAAGGTTCAGAAGTGTGGAGCATGGGGTCTGCATGCTTTAAGTGACAACAACAAAATTCAACAAGCCACAATCTCTGCTGGTTTGCTTGTTTGTCCCCGCTCAACTCATGAACACAAGTTACTGGCAACAAAAAATGAAGCCTGTACATGAATATGAAGCAGTACAAGGAATGGCTTAGTTCCGGTAAACAAGCAACACCACGTGTTAAACAAGATCTTCATCCACATAAAACAAGGACTTGGAAGGGATTTATCCATTATGAATTGCTTGAACGGAACCAAACGGCCAACGTGGAACTCTATGTTCAACAAATGGAATGACTCAACACTGCTATTCAAGAGAAAAGACCTAATCGCCAGAATGGAGTTCTTTTGCTGCACGACAACGCCTACCCTCAAATCGCTAATATGACCAAGGAAGTCATTCAAATGCATGGCTAGGAAGTGCTACCACACCTGCCATATTCTTCCAATTTGGCACCAATGGATTTCCACCTCTTTTGATCTCTTTCAAATGCTATGCACAGTTTTGTTCAATAGTGATGCAGAATTGAGAGCTTGGTTGGATGAACTTTTCGAGTTAAAACATGGTGATTTCTACCAACAAGGTATTGAAAATCTTGTTGAACGTTGGGAAGAAGTTGTAAACAACAGGGGAGAATACATTATTGATTATTTAGTTGTTATTTTTTATCAAATCTTTTAAAAAATTTAAATTTAAAAAATGGCAGGAAATTAGTTGCCAACCCAATACATGAATTTAAGTGTGCTACTAGATTGGCAACTAAGTCCCACCATTTTACTGTTAAAATAACTAAATGCAATGACCACTTCTATTCCAGCAGTTTCTTTTTCTTGCACTTCCCACCTGTGGAACTTCCTGCCGTTTCCTTGCTTCCCTGATAACTACAATCTTCAAGAATTTAAATGCAATGTCAATCACCATCTTCTTGAACCCTGTTTATTTTTTTGTCCTTTCCTCAATCCTCCCCATTCTCAGTCATCTCTTTCACTTTCACTTTCAATCCCTGTAACACCCTGCATACTAGTGACATTACCGCATTGCTTGAGTTTGGTTTGGTTTGGTTTGTTTTATGGCATATCAACCTCAATGGGTTATTTAATGCCACCAAAATTTTTTATTGCTGGCAATATTTTTTTTTCCAAAATCTATTGCTAGTATTAAAACCTATTTTTACACTTTCATAGTGTTTTGATCCCAGTTTAGGGGTTAGCTATTTGCTCATAGCTGGGACCCTTACAGGTTCTACCACTTCAGGTCAGGGTGAACCTGGGAACACCAGAATTTAAGAGGTGGTTCCATGCTCCTCAAAACCTCCTGATCAGAGGCCTTGCTGTTGGATGTAGTTTATTGTCTTACCCAGGACATAGATGTAGTCATATGTCGTCATACTCAGGATGGCATTGCTTGGGAGTAAAATGATTAAAAAAAAAAAAATGTCAAAAAAATGTGTCTACTATAAATGATGCATAAAAATGAATTGAATCTTTTCAGGGTGGTTTATGCTTGCCTCTTGGCCAATGTATATCATATGGTTTGTGTATAAACTCTGGTGAATGGTAATTTTAGCTGTTACCTTATAAGGAAACATTTGGTATTCATTTGGCAGCCAGTGTTATTTCAGTTATGATTTTCTTTACTCTCTGGTTATCAGCTCAGAATAAAGTGGAGTATCTGTTCTCCTCAGCTCTAATGGTAATAGCAGTATTAGCTGTTTCCTTATAAGGAAACATTCAGCATTCATTGACTGAGCAGCCAGTGTTACTTTCGGTTGAAATTTATAAAATCTTACTATTAAAACAATTTTTCAGGAAAAAAGGTTTCTTGAGTCCAGTAACTCTTATTGCTCTTTCCAGTGTTGATAGAGGTTTCCTTCCTAACATTTTGTTTGAAGTTGTTTGGAATGTCAACATCTTGATAATGACATTTTATTTTCTCTTTGAATTACATGTGATATCCATTTTAACTGTTGCTGTTGTCCAAAGTTCTTAATTGATGTGGTTTCTATTTTTTGGTAGAGTTCTTTGTTAATGACTCTGTAGTACCAGTCAATGAGGTTTGAAGAAGGATGGTCATTACTAAGACCTACAGGCTTCATCTGCTTAAAGCCATTTTTAATCATTGATCTCAAAAAAAGTGGTTGTATACAGCTGATAGTTTAGATAGTGATGCACAAAAATAAAAAGATTGAAACTTTTCAGGGCTGTTTCTATTGGCCAATATATCAGGTGTAACAGCAAAATTGTCCAAACCATGTTACAGCATAATTTTTCATCCCACAAATTGTTTAATATCTAAAAAAAAAAAACAAAAAAACCACTAAATTAAATGAGTTTCATTTTTTCCAAGTTTTCAAATAAGATGTTTAGACATCTTGACACCGATTGTCATAAGAATCACTGAAAAACTCTTTGAGTTATTCAGCTAGAAAGAAAACAGGTTAAAATCATTTTGTGTCATATTTGTCTTCTCAGTTATTTGTTGTGTATGTGCATTGTCTACTGCAAGGATAGTTGGGTCGTGTCATGCCAGAAAACTTTTTCTTGACAGAATCCATCTTGCACATTTACAAATCTACCATTTGTCCATGCATTGAATACTGCTGCTATATCTGGTCTGGTGCTCTTGCTATTCATCTTGAGGTTCTTGACAAAATCCAAAGAAGGATCTGATATGTTATGAATCCTGACTTGGTATCTCCACTTCAGTTACTTTCTCATCAACATGAAGTGGCTTCCCTCTGTCTTTTCTACAAATCTTTCCATGGCAACTGACAAGCCTTTTTTCTCTGGTGCCCTGATTATATAAATGCTACTAGATTGGCATTTAGGTCCCATCGATTTACAGTTGAAATAGCTAAATGCAACCATCACTTCTAGTCCAACAGTTTCTTTTATTTCTCTTCCCACCTGTGGAACTCCCTTCCATTTCCTTGCTTCCCAGATAAATACAATCTTTAAAAATTTAAATGCCATGTCAATTGCCATCTTCTGTCTTCTTAAACTGTGTTCATTTTTTGTCCTTTTCATAATCCTTCCCATTCTCAGTCTTCTCTTTGTCATTCTCTTTCACTCCCTGTAATCTATGTACTAGTGGCATTACTGCTTTACTTTGATTGAAATGATTAAAAAAACAAACAAAAAAAGTTTTCCCTGTAACTCACCTTTTTATTTACTTTTGCCCATCTTGAAAACTCTTATTGATTTTTTTCTTGTGTATGTGTGTGTGTGTTTTGTGGGAGGGAGACATGAGGCTTTTTGAAGATTAAAGGTCAAAGATTTCATAAAACCTGTTGTTCAATGGTTCAAAGTGGATATTAACTCTTTGTTAGTACTATGATGCATTGTCACAGCATTAGTACTGTTAGTTTTTCAAACACACCATTTAAAATATTATAGATATATCATTTAGTTTTTAATTTTCTTATATATTATCCTGAGTATTTTTTATGGTTTTTATAGGATAAATAAAAAAAACAAAAGATTTTATTCTGAGAAATTGAATGAAAAGGCTAATATTAAAAAATTATTTTCTAATTTTCAAAAGTTAAAATATTCAAAAATAGGTCTAATTTTATTTTCCGTAAACAAATTAAAACTGTAATTTGCACAGATATTATAACTAAATCTAGAAACTCCCTGTAGTAACTTCACAAATCTATTCAGAAAGCTGCTTCACTAGTTCTAAAAATTTTTACTTGCTAAATATTAAGGAAAACTTTTGGTAGGATGTTCAAACATGGTACTAATGAATGATTGTTTTTTTTTTTTACAGCTTATCAAACCTTTTGAGTTATTTAAAGCCAAAACATATTTTGGATTGTAGAAGGTCGCTTACAGTATGTGGTGTTCCCAAGCGGTCCCCCATCTAAGTACAGACTTGACATCACTACTTAATTAAGGACCAATGATGAATGCTATAGTATTGGTACCACAGTTGAGACAAAGAAAACAGTTGCAAATACTTCAAAATTAAGCATGAATTAGACAATAAATTAAAGATATAAATTATATGAAAAAAGAATTACTAATTTCTAATGCTATAAAAATAATCAAATGGAATTAAAATGAAATTATCTTACCTCTTTGGTGGGCTTCACAATGTGGAAACATTCTAAAATCATCGCTTCAGCATCTTTTGTTGTTTTGAGCATACAAGAAGGCTTGACTGCTTTGATTGCGACTCCATCAAGATCAACAATCAGTAAAGAATTCTTGGAGACTTTTCAGAAAAAATAATGGTAATAATTAAATGGCAATAAATGCTTTATTCAAACAGCAACCAAATGCTTAAATAATTTGGTACAGTTTTAAGAAAATATATTTAAACAGATTATTTTCACTTATGTCATTAATTTCCTTAAAATTTTTTGTCTCCATTTGATTAATTTATAGTAATGTCAGACAACAACCATGGTTACTATGAATGCTGCCAGAAATAAGACTAAGTAATATTTCTGGTGTAAAATTATAGAATTTTGTGAAATAATATTTTAAAATTATTTATGTCTGCTTTTTGAGAAAAAAAACAACTCATTTTTAGAAGTCAAGATTATATTTATTTTAAGTTTTCTTAAAATGTAAATGCATTGATATTTTTCTACTAAGATAAGACTGAATTTCAACAAGGCAAATAGAAATTGTTTCTAAACAAACAGGATGAATTTTAAAGAATCTTTATTAACAAAAACATTGCTTATATATTTGAAAATTTGAATTAAAAATAAATAACAAATAAAATATACAAGGTGTTTCAGAAAAATTAACATAATTTCATAATCTTACAATTTGACCAATTCTCATTCAAATGATTACAAATTTTAACAGCATGTGTAGAAACAACTCAAAATTTGAAGTTTAATGGTTTTTTTTGGGGGGTTTTTTTAGGTATAGAAATGCCATTCACTGGAAATGAAAAGGTGTTTTGTGTGTTAGATTATGCACAAACAGTTGAAAAAACTGTAGTGTGCATTTGTCAGAGAATTTGCTAAAAATGGACTAACTGCAATGCATATTTGAACATGACACAAAAAATTAAAAGAGGAAGGCTGTCTGTGCAAAAGGGCAAAAGAATCTGGATGGCCAGCAGTATCAGAAGAGATGGTCAAGTGAGTTTGGAAAATATTTTTATGAAGTGGCAGGAAGTCCATATGAAGAAATATTGGAAACCCAGATTTCTCGGATGAGTTTGGAAATGTCACAAGAAAACACTTGCAAATGACACACCTGAAAAGCTGCAGCTTGTTCAGGCCATAAAGACAGATGACCAAAATGCACACGCAATTCTGCGGTCAATATGCATGAAAGACATGAAGAAGATAAGTTTGAAAAAAGTTTTGTTTTCATTCATGATGGCCACATTTCATATGAATGGTAAAGTTCACAAGTATAATGTTTGTATTTGGGGTGAAGAAAACCTATTTAAAGTGCAACATATTTATCTAATATAAATAATATATTTGAGGTCAGAGGTATACAGAGTGGTTCAGAAAAATTGATATCATTTCGTAATCTAATAATTTGACCAATTCTCATTCAAATGATTGCAAAAATTTTATGATTAATGCTTTTTTCAGGTATAAAAATGTCATTCACTGGAAAAGAAAAGGCATTTTGTGTGTTAGATTATGCTCGAACACAGTCAAGAAAGACTGTGTAGCATACAATTGTGAGAGAATTCACTAAAATGCATCATCTGCAATGCAGATTTGGACATGGCAAAGAAGTTCAAAGAGGAAGGCTGTCTGTGCAGGACAAAAACATCTGGATGACCAGCACTATTAGAAGAGATAATCATGTCACTGGTGGTTCACATGTTGAAACTTGTTACATCGTTCATGAAATCCACATACCTTAGAATTTCTCATACAAATTTGATGAATAAATCTTATTTTGATTCACAATAAGCCTGTTTATTTCCATTTGGCAAGACTATATAGTTACCCAAATATTAACATTTCAAATGGTATCAATTTTTTTAAAACAACCTGTACATAAAAATATGCTTTTAAAAATTGCTACACCATTTAAATATTATTGGCAATTTTGTAAAGGCAATTTGTTATATATATATATATATATATATATATATATATATATATATATAAATATATATTGAATAAAAAAAAACTTTAGGTTCCATGTAATAAATTATTTCACCACAGCCCTTTTAAAGGGCTCTGGATCATCAGACTTTACTTCCAAAGGTTGAAATGAAAAATGGTTTACACAACCATTGAAGTGAGTTGGAAGAATGAGTTATGTACCATTTCAATTCATTTATCCCTAACCCCACAGACTTTAACTTAACGTATGTTATCATTTTAGATATGGATTATGATGAAGAGGCGATTTAACAGGAAGATGCAATAAAACAATTCTGATGGAGAAGGTTTCACTTAATTTCTTGGACGCTGTTAACTTTAAAGGGTATATTTGGGGTTAAAGTTTGATATAAATCTAAATATAAATAAAATCTATAAAAGAATTTAATTTGATGTTTATTGGATTTATTTATATTTATAAAAATGTCGATTAAAAAAAAATTCATAGAAATAAACATTGAAAAAATAATTCATTTTTATCTATAATCTTTCATATATTTTCCTAAACTTTTTCAACAATGTTGATTATTAAGTTGACATCTATTCGTTTGATTTTTTGTTCATAAAAAACCCCAAAATATAATTATGACAAAGGTTTTCCAATTTAAATAATTTTAAGAAAATCAATAATGATTATTGTAATATATTTTAACATCCCATGAAGACTTTAAAAAATTGAAAATCCTTAGATTTTTGTTCCTTTAATTCTATTTTAACAGCTTTTTGATTAAAGTTTTTTTATTTTTTGTTTTAATATCATTTTTCCTTTTGTCTACCATACAGATTACCTATTTTTAAATTAGAATTATATATATATATGCATTATATAGAAAAAATAAAGATCAATACTATATATATATGGTGTGATAAGTGAATGAGACAAATGGAACCAATTATATTTTGCCATTTAATTTATTTCCAGTTTATAATTTCCGGGCAAAACTATGTCTGGCTCCAATGCCAGTGTACCCTCTAGAACACTTCCTCATGCAAGAGTACCACCTGTCCTGCTCCACATGCCTCCCTTTCTTGATCCCACAAGACATCTGTGTTGGGGTCAGCTGTGGGGATGTTTTTGAGCATTCATGCGACGGACCTCGCATCTCTGGAAACAGGGTTGTTGGTGGCTGTGATGTTCTTGTCAAGAACAAGATTTATATATCTTATCGTCAATGCCATGTGTAATGTCAGTGCATAAAGTCTAGAGTGAGACAAAATGCCACAGTCCTAAATGACTGCCATTTATATTTGCCTCCTGGTCTATGTGGCAAGGGCTCCATTTCAGGTGTACCCTCTAGGATAGTCCCTACTCCACAGTTTGGACATTATGTCATTATTACTAATTTTTCTTCTAGGCACAGCCTTCAGACATCACTTACCAATACTGTAAGGCCTGGCTCTCCTCAATATGCTCCAGATTACATTAAGGCTTTTGTTATTATTTTTCTTTAATTCCCACACATGGCTGGCAAGTCTGGTACAATTCCTATGACTTTCTATTCTGAATGATGACATGCAGTTGTACCATCTCTTTTTGAAGTTGCCTTCAGTACATCCCAAATATATCTTGTTCTGGCCACTTGCATCCTTTAATTATGCTTTGTAAATCACTCCTTTCATTTTACAGTAGACATTTACTTTTATCCCTATAGTTACACGGTTTGCTATAAATAATACTTTGTTGCACGCTAACTTTGAAATTTCTGGCATTTTATCTTTTTACTGCAGTTTTAAAATTGCTGTAACTTTACTTTATTTCTATTAAAAATCTTGTGCAATTCAGAATTCTTTGGGAAGCGCTTATCAAACAACTTGAAAAATATCTTCCCTATGGTAGATTTTACCTCTAAATTAAATGGGTTTTAAACCAAATAATGTTTCTTTTTCTCTTTTCATTCCTCATTTGTTGATTCATTTGAGGTTTTAAATTCAAGTTTAGTTTTATCCCCCTCCTCTTTCTTTTCCCTCTTTTTGGACTCCATCTTCTTTTTTTTTCCTCTTTTTGGATTCCATCTTCTTTTTTTTTCTCTTTTTGGATTCCATCTTTTTTTTCCCCTTTTTGTACTCCATCTTTTTTTTCAAAAATGATTTTACAAGAGGAATTTTTGGTTAGCCTGCACTCTATTCCTTTAGAGATGTTCTTGATTATACTCGAAGAGTGGTCAGATCCAATGTTCACATACCTCAATTTTGTGTAAGGCGGAACACTGCTGGTTTGTAGATTTAATTTCGCATCCACATATCAGGTGACTTTCTTGTTTATATTGACTTCAATTTCAAATACGAGGCTCTTGAAGAGTTTAAGAAACAGTTTTCTTATTCTGTCATTTACTCTTCTGTTGTCTGGCACTATCATCAGCCCATCATCCCTATACAGACTGTGGTTGTCTATGTGGACTATTTCATTGATCTTGTTTAAAATATACAGGCCATTAAATATGTCAAACAAACCTTGTAGAACATTAAAAGTGCCCTTGTTTGATCTCTTAAGCCATGCTTTGTCATTGTGGAATCACACAAGTTTACAACAATGCAAGGTTATCTCAACCTGTTCAGGTGGCATATCAATAAAGCCCTTAGCAAACTTCAGAGCCTCAAATAGTCCTTTTTCAGATATGGATGGATAAAAGTCCTTGATGTCATATTTTATGAATACATGCTGTTTTTTTTATTTTTAATTATATGGAACCAACAAATACAGTACTGTTTGATAAAAAGTGACTCACCTGATTTTTTTTTCTAAATGTTCTCTTCTCCGATGAAATGAAAATTGAGCTAAATTCAAATGATAAGTGAAATCTAAAATCCGAAGAAGAAGCTTTGAAAGCTCTTTGAATTTAGCAGTAAGTACTGTCAAGCATCTGTTCAGTATAATGTTCTGGGGATGCTTTTCATTTCATGGAACTGATTTCTTGAAACCTATTAAAAAGACCCTCAGGAGCGAGCAGTACAAGAGAATTTTAGAGTCTTTTCTGCTCCCTTCTGCTGAAAGGGTGCAAATCAACCCCACCAAGCTCATTTTTATGCAGGATAATGCTCCCTGTCACAAATCAAAATTGATGAAGGAATACTTTGATGAGAAGCAGGTGAGTGTTATGACATGGCCGCTCCAATCTCA